TAAATGATTATTAAATATTTAAACAAATATTTGTTGTTAATGTCCTACACATCACAATAAATAATTTAATAAATATTAATTTTTTTATACCAAATACAAATTTAAGGTCATATTACAATCTTATTAATTATGCGTATTTAATCTAGGTACTATATAACATAAATCTATTTACAAAATTAATTTATCTAGAAAAATAACAAAAATGTTTGTATTATTATAGTATTGGATTATTTTTATTTTAGTATTAATATTTAAGTATAAACCATAAAAACGAAAAATTTCAAAAATGTTTAATTTGATGCTGATTATTTTTAAATAAACTGAGGAAAGCTAAGTCATTTAAACTAGTTAAATTCTTAAGTTGATTAGAAAATTAACTAACTAGTTAATGCCCACCTTTGGATATAAAATCAAATTTAATAATGGACAATTTAAAATGTGTCTTTTCACTGTAGATACAACTTTTTTTTATTTTTTTGAACAAGTCCTTCAAACGATTTTCGTAAGAAACATTTAAATATTTGGTAAAAAATAAGAGTTTATAAAGTAGGTAATATTAATTAGTATAACAACCAACAGATAACTTGATAACAAAAGATGATGGCGCTGAGGTAACGTACACTCGACTGCCAGCATACGAATAAATTAGAAATATATGGCTTCCGTATAGGCACGATTAAAGATATACAGGTTGCACATCGCCGTATAGTAAACCGCTTCCAGACTGATTTACAAAGTGACTATAAAAATCAGCTGTTAATAATTAACTAGTGGCGCTTAATGTCAACACTCAACCATATGTGTCGACATTTAGAACTAATTTTACACCTATATATCTATAATTGGTTAATTGTAATACTGCCGCTTGGAGCGCCACTGGTTAATTATTGGTAGTCATTTCGTATTTCACCTTATCAGTAGTCGATGTGCAACCTGTATATCTTTAATCGTGCTTATAGGACAGCCTGCACAGTCGTCTAAAATCGGTTACTTATTCAAATAGCCCGCCTCGGCCAACAACTTAGAAGTGACCCCTAGCGGACCTTAGAGGCAATTAGCATTTAATATTTTAGGTACCAATTATTATTTTCCGTAATATTACGTTCCGGTATTTTACGTTCCACACTATAACTTTCCGTCATATTACAGTCCGGGGTTTTACGGTCCGGGATATTGCAGTCCGGAATTTTATGTTCCGTCACTTTACGGTCCGTGATATTACGGTCCGGAATCTTACGTTCCGCGATAATACTGTCCGAGATATTACGATCAGAGGTTTTACATTCCGTGATTAAACATTCCAAAATATTAATTTAATTTCCGCAAAATTACGTTCCGCTGAATTATTTTCCGCACTATTATAGCCCCCCCCCAATATTGTGTGTTGTTGATAAGCAGGAAGGCCGTAATTTTCCGAAAAATAAATGATCCGGATTGATAAAATCCCGGAAAATAAAATTCCGGAACGTAAGACCACGTAATGTAATAATCCGGAATGTAAAATCCCGGATCGTAATAGTCCGGAATGTAAAACTACGGAACGTAATATTCCGGAACGTAAAACCACGGAATGTAATAATCCGGAATGTAAAATCCCGGATCGTTATAATCCGGAATGTAAAACCACGGAACGTAATATTCCGGAACGTAAAATCCCGGATCGTAATATTCCGGAAAGTAAAAATCCGGAAATAAAATAAAAACAATGGTTCTCAAAATAGTTGTATTATTTTAATAAAATAAATAAATAATTAAAATAATAGGATTAAAATTAACATTTAAGCATAATTTTATAGTCAACGACGCGAATAAGCCGAGACAGTAATATAGTGTAAAAGTAGATTAGTATTTAATGTAGTAATAAGACAATTGTATGTAAAAAATTATTAAAAAATGAGGGCATTTTTTTCAAAAAACAACGGGGACTGTCGTATATTGTAGACAGTCGTCTAAATATTATTTCATATATGTAATAGAGGTGGGAACTTTTTATTGTAAACCATTGACATAGGTCAGTGAAGCATATGTGCTGAGACAGCTATAAGATTACTATATAACACCGCCGCACGCGCAGGCACGGGAGTCCCGTTGTCGCTGAGTGAATCGGCGAGAACGTAGGTACTGTGGTCGTGCGTGTGAAACGTCGATCGGAGTACGGGCTAAGCGATCTGAATTCGCCAAGTATATTTTATTTTGTGTTTGTTATTTAAATATAATAAAAGTGTTTCCGACCTAAAAACCCGAGTTGAGTTTTATTTCAAAGTCTTCTTCGTTCTTACCTTTAATATTGGAACAGTGCTCAGACCCACACACCTATAGTCAATGAGGTTTATTACAAACTGAACAGTGCTCTGGTTGTGGCGTCCTAATAGTCATTCCAATTTAGGAAACGAACGAAGAACTGACAAAACGCTACCATCGTACCTCAAAGGTTAACAGTGCTAATCTGAATTTATTCTAGAGACAGTCATTAGCCTAGAGCGTACGAGGGTAAGGTATAAAGTTGGTTTACCGCGTATTATCCAATACGGGTGATACCACAGTACTTACTCTGCATACGTTAAAGTTAACCAGACAAAATATGCGAATGCATGAAAGTCCTTGCTCTAATAATTAGTAATTTACATCATGTAGGATATGAAGTAGTAGGCCTAGTAAGCGATATGGGACCAAACAACATTGGCTTATGGAAGGCATTAAATATAAAACCTACATCACCTTCATTTGAAAATCCTGAAACAAAAAAAAGGGTGCACGTATTTGCCGATGTCCCTCATCTTATTAAACTTATGAGAAATCACTTTATTGATAAAGGTTTTATTTTACCCGATGTACAAACTTGTGTGCAAGTATTTTAAGTACAAACTTGCACATAAAATATCAGAAAAACATATAAATGTAGTAGGAACACTAAGGCAAAATGTAAGGCTGGCTGTGCAATTATTTTCAAACACTGTATCCAAGGCCCTCCAATACTGTGGAGAAAAACAAATTATTAAAAATAATAATTGGGAGAAGGTTAAAGTTAAAAAAATATGTAGGTAATTGACAATTGTTTTAATAATTAAAAATGGTTTTAAATGTTTTAGGCTTCATCAGTGTTTTCTTTAATAAATGATTGGTTTGACCTACTAAATACACAATTCCCAGTAGACAAATTTACTAAGAGCTATGGAATGGATTTAGATTCACAAAATTCAGTTTTAGATCAAATGGATTACTTTATAACAAACATGAAAGTCTATGGTTCAAAACGAAGATTACCATTTCAAACTGGTAACCTTATTAATTATTAATTTTAATTTAATTTAAATAATCAAACAAATTATCTATCTAGGCATACTAGTAACCAGTGCATCTCTAAGAAATCTTCTATCAGATTTAAAGATGGAATACAGTGATGTATATTATATAATAACTAGGAGACTAAATTCTGACGTTTTAGAAAAATTTTTTAGTTTTATTAAAGGGATGATTGGTTCAAGTACTCGTATTTCTCCACTAGAGTTTAAATATTTGTCTGTTGAATAATATTTAGTAACATACCTACTTTGTAGTTTGTTTATAAATGTAATACATGTTCATTTATGTTTGGCAGTTTACGATGGTATTTGTTAGGGAAATATTCCAATTCTGTATTTACTGAACACCGGAATACTGAAGATACAAATGAAGAAAGTTTAATTAATTGTTTGTCTGCATGTACAGTAAACAAAGCTGAAATAATTAACAATGATAATAGCAGTATTGCAAATATTAAAAATGATGTTATTGATGAAGCAATATCAAGTATTGAATCACTTAATGGAACAAACTCTAATTATCAAATACCTGAATGTAGTTTAGAATTATTGAAGGATTTTGAGTTACAGGTACCTTTATTTCACTAATATTTTAATCCCTTTGTATAAGTTAGTTATACTATGTATACTACTACTTACACTATGTATGGATCATGGATATATCTGTAATAATAATCCCATTAATTAATTAACAATAGTAAGCAGCATGTAGGTGATTGTATACTTTTGTTTGCCCTTCTTATAGATGTTAACTAATGAGCTGCATATGTCTGATATTGAAAAGGACTGTTTGGAATATGTAACAGGCTCAGTAGCCAGAAAGTTTTTGAGCAAATATCCAAGTCTAGGCGAAAAAGTTGTTAATGTGATAGGATCTGATTTTTCTTGCACCGAACAAATGTCAAAAGGTAATTTGATTAAGCCTTCAAAAAGTATGATACAAGTGGCAAAAGTACTTGAAGTTGTTTTTAATGAATATCATACCAAAAACACACTGAGAAAGAGGTACCTATGCATATTATATTATATATTTTATAGAAATATTAAAGCTGTATTTATTGATTTTCAATTCAATACATTTCTCCAGGAGTCATGAAGAATGTCAGAGACATATTAGTAAGTAAACTGCAGAATATAGTTGAGATTCCAGTAGAAGTCTTAGAATGTATGGTACGCAAGAGGACATTCATACGGTTAAATAGTATGAATAGACAACTGATGGACAAAGTTATTTCTACAAAAAACAAAATTAAAAAAATTGTATCGTAATTTTCAAATATACCTATTGATTGACCATTAAATTAATCATAGATATTTACTTTCATTAGCAGTTAGCACAGATCTTTGGTAATCCTCAATATTTTCTCGCATAAATTGCTATTTTTTATTGTCTATTTTTATTTATTGGTACATTCTATAATTTTTTTCAGCTAAAAAAGATGCAAATAGACAAGTTACATCACGTTTAAGGCATGACAAAGTACTACTTTGTCATGGTTTAAGTCCTATAGTACTATACTTATAGTCCAATACTTAGTACTTACAGCAAGACGTAAATAGTGTTAGGTAATACATTAGGTATTAATTAAGTGAAATAATTGTTAAGTCAAAAGTGTAAATTATTTATTTTGTATTACTAAAAATTACAATATTGTGTGTTGTTGATAAGCAGGTAGGCCGTAATTTTCCGGAAAATAAATGATCCGGATTGATAAAATCCCGGAAAATAAAATTCCGGAACGTAAGACAACGGAATGTAATAATCCGGAATGTAAAATCCCGGATCGTAATAGTCCGGAATGTAAAACTACGGAACGTAATATTCCGGAACGTAAAACCACGGAATGTAATAATCCGGAATGTAAAATCCCGGATCGTTATAATCCGGAATGTAAAACCACGGAACATAATATTCCGGAACGTAAAATCCCGGATCGTAATATTCCGGAAAGTAAAAATCCGGAAATAAAATAAAAACAATGGTTCTCAAAATAGTTGTATTATTTTAATTATATTATAATTATTTTAATTTTTAAACCCCGTTTTAGGTTTCTAAACATTTATTTAGAACACATTATATCCCCGTTGTGTCTGTGCGTCCGCCTATCCGTCAGGCCTATCTGTCAGTTACCATCATGATTCGTGAATTATAATATACTTGATTAGTGTTTGAAAATTTAATGAAATTTAAAATTTTTACATGGTTATTTCACACCGTTCAAGCGAAGATGTTCCCCTTGTACACAATAATTTTACCGTGTAAAAATTATGAAGAGTTTGCACACTCAAAGTCAGTTTTGACCAAATATTTACAGTGTACACGCTAAATGGTTTTTTTTCTCAACAAACCTTATTACTAAAATGAAATAATTATTTAAAATACAGAACACAAGTTATGAAATAATAGATTTTTATTATTGTAAATTAATTCTAAAATATATTTACACAAGTTTTCTTACTTCTCTAGTAAAAGGTACATATTCTACAATACGATCATGAATTAATAAACAATAAGCAGTTACACCTGTAAGCGAATCTGAAGCTTCGATTTCCAATTGAACATCCACTGCTGAGGCTGTGGCTGAATCGTTCTGTTTTGAAGTGTCGATAACTATAATTAGTGCGTTTGCTACAAAAGTAGAAGGACTCAATATCGGGTTACGAATACTTTTTTCATAGTACGATTCTTGAAACGATGTATACATATTATACAATAAGGTGAAATTATTTTTCGAAAAATCTAAATTCAAATTATCGTATGGATAAGCTATCGAGTTCAGAAATACTTTAACGTTTGTTAGATTACAATGATCGAATATACTACAATCTTTTGATAGCACATTTTTACGTCCTTTCTGTAATCCAATTATGATGAATCGTGGTTTTTCTAATTTTGAAGCAGTTTTCAAATTCCACACAACTTTTTTAGTGGTTCCGAGTTCAGGATATTCAAAAGTTTCAAAAGATCTAAAAGGAATAAACAAGCTTTTTTCTTTTTCTATAAGTTTCAATAATTTCAACCTTTCTTCATCGTCGACCGTTATATGTGGGACCTTCCAGACTATTTTATTTAAGGTAACTTTACCTTCAGTAACAGTTGCACCACTTTGAGCTTGTAAAGCATTTAAATCACTATGACTTCGGGTTAATATTAATTCCAATCTCGAATTCACTAATATTCTTTTATAGTCTTCAAACAATCCTAACCAATATTTCAATGGAATGCAAGCACTAAATTCACCTTTCTCATTTTCCGATTGCGTTGCGTTTTTAAAATTCCAACCAGCATTTTCATAACAATTGTAGTTATCTGGCGTACCGGATAAGTAACCTTTCAACGAGCTAGTGATTCCAAGAACACGTGTGCTATCTACTTCTATCCCATTGATTTCCAATCGTATTTGTTCGAAGAGGTAAGAGTAACCGTTATTAGATAGTTTCACTTTGGTAGCATCAGTAATTGTTCCTCCTAAAAAAATAAAGCTTTCGTGTAGATATGGATAAACATCCGTTTGCTGGATTGATATACGTATTTCATCATTATTATTAAATGATGTTATATATGGTGAGTATGAATGATATTCAATTTTCGTAATTTTAGAATCCGTCTCGTACTGTGAAGTTATATCTAAAATATCACTTTCAGGCATTCTGCTTTAATTGATAACCCAGAGCTTGCAAATTTTTTTTATTCTTCACCGTCAATTTTTTTATTTTATTTGATGTTACTGCTAGCACTTTAGTCTTATGACTAGTTGTACTGATCTGAAGTAGTGGGTTTATATTGAATTTTAATCCCATCTCAAGAGCCGTAACGTTTAATATGTAACACGATTGTCAATGCTTCACCAAAATTATCAATCGGATTATGTTCTTGATCAACTAACTGAAAGGTTATCGAATCAATATTTGTTTTATTCAATTTGTAATATATTAAATTTGGTGGTGCCTGAATTACTTTCGACCCGGTCTTTCCACTCGGAAAAAACTAATAAATTGAATGACTCTGAAGATGGTTGCTGAATGATCCTTGAGCTTTATTACACATTACTTTTATAGAATTAATTCTGTTTAAATTTACAGCTTTTTCCGATCGAAGAATGTTGTATGGATTATATACTCGTTTTTCAAAACCGAATACAGGTGCTATACTATATGGATATTCAAAGGGTAGTTAGTATTCCATTACATTTTATATACGATCTGAAATCATCAGGATCAACCGTAATGTCGAATGTTAAATTGGTTAAGTTTTTACTATTATAGGCAACTATTTGCTTCTTAACTCGATCCTTAATATCTTCAATTTCATAACAACCCACTTCTAATGTAATAAAACATATCATAGGATCATTATTGTTTTCATTATCAACTACTTGTATAGAAAATTTATTATTATTTTCATTAATATTTGGGAATGAATTAAATGACTGTAAACATAACAAAGCTATTTCTGAGTCATCGTAAAGGTTTATAGGTGGAAAATAATTTACAGATAATACAGTTGAATTTCCAGTCAAACTTAATGTAATAGATTCATGCATTGTAAAAATTCAAGACATAAATGACCACAGTTAAATGTATTGAAGTCTTGATAGTTGGAATAGTTATATAATATTTAGAACTGTCTGAAATAATGTTGTAATTCAATTGGTGGGGGTAAATCACCAAAGCTATCAAAATATACAACTTTGTCCTTATTTTTATAAAATGCTACCCAATGACTTCCGTCACCTGAAGATATATCCAAGTTTAATATACCACATTCAACCGTATGTGATTTTTTTAGCTAAGTTATCACGTGAAAAGACTCCACGGAAATGATTGATTTTAAACTTTTCAGTATATTTTATAATATCTTGAGACGAAAGCGGTCTGTCAGGTAGCGTAATCATCAGTTTTTTTTTAACCTATTCTTGTTTGAATTCAAACCACTACCTTTTTTTCTTTTTGAATTTTGAACCGCATTATACACACTAGCACCTCCAGACATCAAACTACCAAGTGCTGACAATCCCGCAAATATAGGTATTAAGGGAATTACACCTCCTCACTGTCTCGGCGCTAAAATCAACCTTTTACCACCATTCTTTTTCTTTGAGATTCTTTTTTTCTTCGCTGCTAGTATACCATTTGTTTTTATAGCACGTTTCCGTTTACAACCCATACCTATTTTTCTTTTAGATTTCATTGCGTTTGTTACTGCGTACGCAACTAGTTTCTCTTTTCTAGGAGTATCTTTTGCTTTAAATCTTTCCCAAGCACGATTTTCTAACACTTTATCAGCTCTATGTCTATCGTCTAAATTTTTGCTCGTTGCATACACAATATCGTGATCACGACAAGCAGCATCCAATGGGTTAATTCCTTTATCATCACGATCTAGTCTCTTTTTTAATTTCATACCAGGACCACAATACTGATAGCCTGAAACATGGGCTTCGAACGGGAGACTATTTATAAGAGAGTTTACAAATCCTTTTCCAGTCTTGACTAACTTACACTTACGAGTTGAATGTTTCATCGATAACTGATTATAAATTGGAAAATTCTAGAGTATTTATAAGAAAATAATATGGATTTGATAGAACAGAAAGATAAATTGGATGTTACAAATGTAGATGTTCAGGTAGTAAAAAAACCATCAAGACATGGTTCGTTATTACCTGACACTATACGTGCTATACTAGTTGGTCCCAGTGGTTCAGGAAAAACAAATATAATGTATAATCTGATCACACATGCAAACGGGTTAAGATTTGAAAATATTTATTTATACTCGAAAACCTCTAATCAGGAAAAATATGTTTTACTGAAAAAAATAATAGATGATATAAAAGGTGCTAATTTTTTCATATTTACAAGCGCTGATAAGGTAATAAAACCAAGAAAAATTCTATTGTCATTTTTGATGATGTGATATGTGGTCCACAATCCGTAATCAGAGAATATTTTAGCATGGATAGACATTCAGGTGCTAGCTCTGTATTTTATTTAGCACAGACATATTCTAAAATAACAAAACAGCTAGTAAAAGATAACGCAAACTTCTTAATAATACTGAAACAAGATGATACAAATTTACGACATATATTCAACGATCATTCGTCTACAGATATAGATTTCTCAGAATTTCGTAAAATTTCTCATTTATGTTGGAATCATAGTGATTATGGTTTTATGGTCATCGATAAAACTCGGGAAATGAATGAAGGAAGGTATAGATGTGGTTTTCATACATTCATTAAAATAAAATAATTTTATATGCTTATACCTATATATAAATATACCGTCACACAGTTATTATCTGCATTGTGTTATCAGTAGTCATACCATACAGTTATATTACACTTATTATTTACAATGAATAAAGAAAAAGCCTTGTTAGAAAATTTAATAACATCGAAAAAAAATATTAAACGGAAAATAATGGAAGTGAAACGTGGTGTTATAGATTCTGACAACTATTTCCGTGAAGCATTTAAACCAATAATTGAACCATTGACTACACGTATAGAAAAAAATAGTCAATGTAACTCACACCTAACTGATCAAAAAAATATGGAAACCTCGTGTACTAGTGAAGAGGATGATGATGAATTAAATTCATCATTTTCAAATTTTTTAAATAACCGTCCTAAATCAACACGTTATGATAAATCCTATGGTATGTATTATGATAAAGAAAGTGATTCATATAAAATAGGAAGAAATACAGTAACTTTTAGTCACGATAACTTACAGTTGCTTAGTAAATACTATAAATTTACACCATTACTATAGTCTTTATTATGTGAGAAGGAACCGAAAAACTACTCCCTAGAAGATATAGAATCTTATTATGACATTTTAAAAACAACACATACACATTTAAAAGCAGATGGGAAACCTAAAACCTCAAGATTTTTTAAATGGACAAATGTTGTAAAACCACTGTATGATCGAATAAAAATGGAGGAAAAACAATTACATGAAGAAATAGCTAAAATTAATGAGGTGAAAACTCCTAGAATTAACTTAAAATCATTTAACAATACTTTACCTTCTACTCCTTCTGACTTATTGGACGCTAAACGTAGAAAAATAACGCAAGAAAATGAACCATTTGATTTTAATCAATCAGTAAACAGTTTTTCGCCTACAGATCGCATGTCTACAAATATGATTAATTTTACTTTATCACCTGAGTCTAAGACAGGTAGTGGTTTATATAAAGATGTATTACCTCAAACACAACTAGTTTATTATGACGATCCGAATGAATTAGTAACTAGATTAAATCTTTTGGTATCATCACAAAGTGTTGGTAATACTGGTGTTAATAACGAAATTATATCTATTTTAGAAGAACTACGTGAGAGAAATATTATAGTATAATGACAACCTTAGAGAGTATAGCTAATGAGCTACATTGACCAGTGAGAAAAATATTTCCTAGACGTAGTGTGGTAACACAGTTTATTGACGACCTCTGGCAAGCTGATTTGATGGATATGCAATCTCATTCTAAAAAAAATTATGGTTATAAATTTATATTAGTTGTTATAGATACATATATCAAATATGTATTTGTGGAGCCGCTGAAAAATAAATCAGCGAAAGAATGTACAAAAGGAATGTTTAATATATTGAAAAAAGCTAAACCAAAATTTTTACAAACAGATAATGGTACAGAATTTTATAATACTCAATTTCAAGATTTAATGAAAAAATATAAAATTAGGCATTATTCATCATACAGTGTTATTAAATGTGCAATCGCAGAACGCGTGATCTTAACTCTTAAGAATAATATATATAAACACTTCACTGCAACAGGTACTTGGAATTGGTTCAATACAATATCAAAAATTATACATAACTATAATAATACAAAACATAGAACAATCAAATGTACGCCGAGTGAAGCTCGAATGGATACAAACAAAAATAAATTTAATACATATATAAATTCTAAAACATCGTATAAACCAAAATTTAAAGTTAACGATAAAGTACGAATATCTAAGTATAAACATATATTTAGTAAAGGATATACACCAAATTGGACAACGGAAATATTTACAGTTTCAAAAGTTTTACAAACAAATCCAGTAACTTATCAACTAAAGGATGAATCAGACAATATAAATTTAGGTGGTTTTTATGAACAGGAAATTAAATTAACTGATTTTCCAAACACCTTTCTCATTGAACGTATTGTAAAAAAGTTGGGAATAAAATGCTTGTTAAATGGTTGGGTTTTGATTCAAGTCGAAATTCATGGATCACATCATCAGATATTTTAAACTAATGTTTTTTTTATGTATATTATGTTATACTTTAATAATAAAAATCAGAAAAAAAGTTGAATTAATTATTTGTTTTTAGTTTATATTTTTGTTATCTCAACACCTAATTTTTTTTATTTTATTTTTTTTTAAAAAAATAAAAAATAAATTTTATTACACTTCCGTTTTTTCTTTAATTTATCTAGTTTATAGTGACCATAAGCCAAAGTATTTATCCCGTCATCATTTATATGACGTTTATCGTCATTGGCGTTTAGAACAAGTTTGTTCATTGTTTTCGAATGAACAACATGTTTGTTTGATTGGATAAAATTCATGTTTCTATGAGTTAATTTATCCTTAACAGATAAATGATTTATAAAAGCGTTTAGTATATCCTTATAATTATCGAATTGCATATGTTTTTCAATAACATATTTCTTTACACCTTTTGCTTTTTTTTCCTCAGTACCGTCTACAGTTTTGTACGCATTTAATTTCGGTCTTAATGATACGAATTCTTTAAGTATTACTCCTTTCAATGAAGGGCTTGGTGCAACAACGAGATAAGTCCACTTTTTTCGAAAATGCACTTTTTCGTGGATTATTGTGTAGGAAAAAATTATCTACATTTTGGTGCAACAACCAGTTAAATCCGATAAATATATATATATCATTTTTAATGAAATTGGATTTATCTTGTTTTTGATTTTGGTGCAACAACCAGATAACTCCGGAGTTATCTGGTTGTTGCACCAAACTGTGGTCACACTGTTTTAGCTGTAGTACTGTTGATTTTAGTATCAATATTTATCATTCTCTGTTATCTTGACCGTCATGTACTGGTGATTAGTTTTATTTCAATTAATATTGTTCGTTAAATGTTTTGAATTATACTATACCTACATTAAAGTTGCTTTTTTTAAAGATTTATCGATTTATACGCAGTTAAGAATATGAATGCTGAAGATATAAACGCTGCGCTGTCTGAGGATTCCTTCAATTTCTCAGAAATTGATGACTACATTATCGATCCAGATTTCATTTTATGTGAGTGTAGTGCAGAAAATAATGATTTACATGGAATACATCCCTTAATAAGTAGTGACTCTGAACATGACGAAAATCTACAAGAATGTATGGTAGTCGGTTCTGCATATGTACAGGATGGTTTTGAAAATGAAGATGAGGTCTCGGTAGAAAATGATGAGCAGGGATGTTCAACATTTAATGGAAAAAAAAGAGTTGCAACCCCATCAGTATGGGAGAGAAATATTGTCAAAGCAAAACGTGCTAAAGGTGAAGGAGTTGTTAGTTTACGAGGCAAAATAGTACAAAAAAGAACAACAGGGGTAGATTGCAAATGCAAATCAGAATGCTTTAAACAATTTACTGATGAACAAAAACAACTAACTATAAACATGTTCAATAATATTTCAAACAAAGAAAAACAAGACACATTTTTAGGAGGTTTAATTATAACAAATAACGTTGCTAGACATAGACCTGTTAATAATTCCAAACAACCAAGATCATTAACTTGCAAATATAAAATTCGTTTTGATGGAATTGATGAAAAAGTTGTCTGTAAAAAAGCTTTTTGTTCACTGTTTGGAATAGGGAAATCGAGGGTCGAAAGAATTATTCAAAAAGTAAAAAAAAATATTCCAAGCCCTGTGGATTTGCGTGGAAAGCATAAGAATCGACCAAATAAATTGAGTGATCACATTTTATTTAAAATTAAAACCCATATCCTTAGTTTTCCTCGGTATATTTCACACTACAGTAGACATGACAATGAAAATAAAAGATTTCTATCACCTGAATTAAGCATAAGCAAGTTGTATAGCTTATATTTAGAAAAATACGAGTTTGACGTTTTTGAAAAGTTAAAGAAGGGAGAAAAAGTTAAACCTACTGTAAAGTATGAATTTTTTTCACAATATTTTAACAAAAACTTTAATCTGTCTTTTGGCCATCCCAAAACAGATACATGTCAAACTTGTGACCATTTACAAAATATGATAAATGCAGAACTTGACATTGAATTAAAATCCAACCTTATTGAAGAAAAACAACAGCATATTGAAAAAGCTTCAACATTTTACACTGACTTAAAGAACCTATCAAAAGAATCGAGACTTAATGACAGTATTGAGGTATTGTCATTCGATTATCAGCAAAATATGCCCTTACCACATATTCCTTGTGGTGACGTTTTTTATAAAAGGCAGCTCTGGAGTTATAATTTTTGTGTGTATTCTGGTAAACTTCGTCAGGGCTACTTTTTCATGTATGATGAAACAATAGGAAAAAAAGGACAAAATGAAGTTATCAGCCTAATTGATTATTATTTAAAAAACTTACTTTCACAAGGAGTAAAACAGTTATATATTTTTTCGGATAACTGCAGCAGTCAAAACAAAAATATGGCCTTGTTTCAATATTTTTATACTATTATTCAGTCAAATGCTTTTGGTCTTGAAAAAATTACACATCGTTATCCGGAACCCGGTCACAGTTTTCTCCCCTGTGACCGTTGTTTTGGGCTGATAGAAAAAAATAAGCGTAAGATGGAACGAGTGTTCATACCTCAGACATATCAAAACATGGTAAAAGAAACTAGCAGTGATAAATTTAATGTAATAAATATTACACAAAACGATATATACAATTTTTCTGAATATCTAAAACCCAACTTTAAAAAATACATAACAAGTTCACACAAAGAAAGGTTTACTATCGTGGCATACCGCCTCATGGAATATGTGAAAGATGGACTGTACTGCAAAACCGTTGCAAATAGCACTTTAAAAGAACATTTTACTTTACAAAAATCAGGAACGGACTTGAAATATCCTCTAGAACATCTTCCTCTACTATATTCTATGAAACTTAAGCTTAAAGAAGCTAAATTAAAAGATGTACAGGATTTAGCATCAAAATATGTACCATCTGAGTTTATATGGTTCTATGAACAGCTTGAGGGAGACGTTCAAAATAATGAAAATGTACCAACTTCTGAAAATGAATATTAAATTATTATTATTATCATCATTCATGTTCTTTAGAGGTAACTAAATACCTATTATTAGAAAAATAATATATTTTTTTAATTAATAAAAAGTTAAATATATAATATTTCTAAATATACATTGTTTAATGTACTTTTTTCAGTTTTTGTTTCATCAACTTAATCAAGAAAAAGGATTCTTGTACCCAGTATGGACATTATTTTATTTTTAAATTATAACTATATATGGTAGGTGGTATATTAAAAGAGATCAATATTTAGAAAATGTTTATACTATGGTATATTGTAACAATGTTTTTTATTTTTTCAGTTTTTGTTTCATCAACTTAAACAAGAAAAAGGATTCTTGTACACAGTATGGACTTTATTTTTTTTTTAATTTATAACTATTTATGGTAGGTGGTATATTAAAAGAGATCAATATTTAGAAAATGTTTATAGTATGGTATATTGTAACAATGTTTTTTATTTTATCAGTTTTTGTTTCATCAACTTAAACAAGAAAAAGGATTCTTGTACCCAGTATGGACTTTATTTTTTTTTTAATTTATAACTATTTATGGTAGGTGGTATATTAAAAGAGATCAATATTTAGAAAATGTTTATAGTATGGTATATTTTAACAATGTTTTTTTTATTTTTTCAGTTTTTGTTTCATCAACTAATCAAGAATAGGGATTCTTGTACCCAGTATGGACATTATTTTTTTTTTTAATTCATAACTATTTATGGTAGGTGATATATTTAAAGAGATTAGTATATAGAAAATGTTTATACTATGGTATATTGTAATAATGCTTTTTATTAATTTAAAAATAAACAAATAAAAGTGTTTTTAAAGTTTCATTCTGCCTATACTGTGTTTTCAATTTTTAAACATGAAATAACCATAACAACGAAAAATTCCATAAGCTATATTTGTATATTTTTTTATTTAATTGAATATTAAAGGTTCCAGAATACAAAATAATAACAAAAATGGAACATTAAGATATGATGTAAGAAATCTGCAAAGAGTTTTTGGTTAAAATCAATATTTAAGTTGGTCAAAAAAAATATTTTGTTTATACTTACAGTAACAAAAATAATATTTTGTGGCAAAAAACCAGATAACTCCATGCCAACTTAACTTTGAAAATTATTTTTGAAAAATCTTAAGAATGTAGAAAACCCAAATGTGTTTATTCTTTTTGGGTACTATTAATAGAATTAAAATATGTAGAAACATTTTTTTTTTACGTTTTTGCCATTAAAAAAAATTGATTTTTATTCATACTGAACAATTTAAAAAAGTGGACTTATCTCGTTGTTGCACCAATTATTCATCCTTGAAAAAGCCTGGTTGACTTTTATGTAATTCGTTAAAACAATAATGGTCTTTAGGGTAATTAGATGTATCAAAATATGGTAATAAATCATTTTTTAAATCATTGAAAAAATTTGTAGTTTGAATAACGTATATCAAGGAATCAGTATCCGAATATAAAGAACTAATTTTATTGCCATACCTTTTCTTCATAACATTATAATGAAAATCATACATAAATGTTTTCGAAACGTCTAAAATTGCAAATCCTACATAAATTGCCTTATCGAATTTAATAGTTTCCTTATGTTGGTGAATAGCCATGAGATTCGTAGAGTAAATAGTTCTGTCTTTAAAACTAGTTTTTACCATTAGTTTATTCGCTTTTTTTTCTGATGAAACCAGTTTTATAGAAGTTCTTGCTCGAACATTTTCCATACATTTACCAAAAACACTATTAATTAACAACTTCCAGAAATTTTTTTCAAACTCATTTTTTGCTTCTGCTCTCATTTTTGTACAGAACTCAATGTACGATGCCATCCATTTTTTTTGAGAAAAGCGGATAGCTCGATGATTTTTTACTACTTTAAGACCGTGAGAAATCGCTTGTTTTAAATTTTTGTAATGTACAATATAGTTTTTCTTCGGTGATAGAGTAGCTAACAATTTCTCAACTTTTGAATTTGGTGGACATTCATTAAACGGTAAAAACGGGAAATCATTATAGTTTTTATGCAAGTGCTTAGGGTACTCGATATCAACTTCTAATATATATCCTACTTCAGAATCATCGGAAATTTTAGTTACATCTATGTCGAGATCATCAACCCATTCAAAATCTTTAAAAGGTAATTCTGTTAACATAGACTTTCCATACAAATTTACACAGTCGAGATATGTGATCCAAGTAATCGGTTCATTCGAATTATAGTCCAATCCTTCAATATTTTTTATGTTTGCTTTAGCATATCTTTTAGTTGATTGACAAATACCCCCACGTATTGATTTCTTAAAGAACAATAACATGTTATAATCCTTTAACCTCTCTAATTTAACCTTTGTATACTTAAGCATGCAATCAAAAGCAAATCCAGGTGCAGTCATATAATGAGCAGGATCTAGTCTGAGAGTAGATAAACATATGTCTCTAAAATTTTCGAACACGTCAGCTAGTATGGTAACATCAGTTTTTAAATAAAGATCGCTATATTCACCCAAAGTCTTTATACCAAATGTATTCCATATATTTTTTGCATGTATATAATCTTCATCACTTATGTTCTCATCTGTTAAAGAGTTATAGAATTCAAGCTTTGATGGTAAAAAAGCATTATCTAATTTACTCCAGCTATCAACATATTCATAAGGGAAGACTCCTTTCCGTGTAACTAGATCTAATGACTTCATAGAAAATATTTTAAGTGTTTCTCTAAACCTTGACTTATCTTCAGATAAATTGTCTGCAAGTTTACTTAGCGACTCACTCATAAAACGGAATGTATCTACAAATTTTATACTAAATCTATATGCGATTTCCTTGCTAAATGATATATATTTTTCTGAGGAATTTGGGATAATATGAATATCTTTATCATCACAACCAAGTTCTCGAATAATAAAGTGGTTATCATACCACAAGTTATGGAAAAAAATCAGAACAAATGATGGATTAGTTATTTCAAAATTACACTGAAGACATAAACATTGTCTATATTTACCGGTAAAATGACAATGGTCTCGAACTTTGATTAAATTATTGTTTTTAAAATGTTTTAAACATTTTTCACAAAATTTAGTTCTTTTAAAATGTGCTTCTTCTTTTTCAGTTAATTTTATCATTGGTGTATTAATTTGATAAATTTTATTGATACTAGTTCCGATTTCAATCATTTTTTCCATAAACTTTTTTGCAGCCTTTTCACCTCTATAAATTATTACCTTCCTCGGAATGTTTAACTGTTTCACCAGCTCTTTCGAAATAATGCTGTAGTCAACTTTTACATAAAACCCATAACTCATAATTTTATGTAAATGTGTAACATAAGTTTTCTGTTTTTTACATTGTTCAATGAATTTATTGGGTTGTTTAGAAGTTAATAAACATTCAAAATCTGCATAAATTACAAATGGAATCCTCTGGGTTTTTTTATAACCTTTGAAATAGATGAAATCATCATCTTTATCTTCAAACATTATAGGTCTCCCCAATGGATTCTTCCCGCAATTACGTCGATGTTCATCTAATCCTTTTACACCCCAAAGCTTACTTTCACACGGTCGAGTACCAAAAGTTGTAAAACATCTTTTACAAATAATTAATTTCGAAAAATTTTTCGTTTTCTGACTTCTGATCAATCTTGAAAAATTTTTAATATAACAATAATGTGATGTTTCATTATTGTTAAACAAAAATAGATCAAAATGATCATTTCTTTCAGTATTACAAATGTACAAAGGAAAAATTGTTTCTCTGTCATTTAAACTATAAATGTTTATTGAAATATAGTTAATACGTTCAAATTTAGGTATCTGACTAATTGGTGTTGGAAAATCTATACATTTAAAATTTAAACCGCTTTTTACTTCTAACATCTTAAAATATTTTTTCTTAAAATTAGTTTTGTTGGAACGATTATCAAACTTAGATAATAATGCATATTTAAAACATTTATTATCACTATTTTTCACATTGATAATCGCTCTTTTATCTTTAACATGTTTAGGTAAATCAATATATGTTCCTCCTTTGAGCCTTTGAGAGGATTCACTATATTGATTCTTAACTGTAATGTTTCTATTACCTTAAGCGACCATCCAGATCCTTTCTGCATGAAATCTGTCTCTTCTCGTAACAATTTATCAAACATGTTGTTTAATGTTTTTTTTTAAATTAGATGAATTACACACTAGAACATTAGAAGTTTTGAATGCAATATCCTGTACTTCTTGTGTGATAAGTCTTTCGTAAACACTATCTACAACTAAATTAAATTTTATAGACGTATTTTTACATGATTCTTTTAATTTACAGATTAATTTCTCTGAAATATGATAAAAAAAAAGCATGTAATCTATAAAATCTAATGTATTCCTAATGACAAAAGTTTTCGAACATTTTTTGAATCGTTCAATTTCGAATAACTCATTATCTGTAGAAATTGTTCGCTGAAATTTTCACACCCTTTGTCTTTTCATGATGAAACTGAAAATAGAATAAATAAAAAATAAGGTAGGTAGATCATTTTATTTCAAATAAATTAATACATTCAGAATATATTTCTTGAACATAAAAATAAAAAAGCGGTTTTAAGATAAAAATGAATTATTGAAAATAGGGAAATTATTAATGACTATTTACCATTGCTTATATAATTATATTGCGCATATAATATAGATAATCTTTTTTGAATATTTTTTTCACGTTTCTTATCAATATATAGCAAATGTAAATGGTCCTTTATAATCTTCTTTTTCGTTTTGTTTTTTTTTTATTAATCACTTTTTTTATTTTTATATCAATATTTTTTAATTTTTTTTTAAATTCTATTGCTTCCTCGTTCATTTCTCGGTCATTTTTCTCAGCATTTTGAATAACATCGTTAATTTGATCCATGATAAATGATTTTGATTCCATTTTTTATTTTTTTTAAATTGTATGGTATTTGTACATTAACTGATAGTAATAAAAAAAATAA